AAAAACAATATTAAAAACAAACAACAATAAATTAAATAATTAAAATGCTAAAAAATACTAATGATCATATTTTTTAATCCTCTTTTTTTTTTTACTATAATTTACCATTTCTAACCCTCTACTTTTATAAAAACAATATTAAAAACAAACAACTTTGTCATAATCATAGCAGAAGTTATGATGGAAATATAATGTAGCTGGTATTGTTATTACATGCAGGTCAAGGTGAGCCATTAACTGTACAGACGCTTCATCAGGATTCTCCACAGAAAAGAGCTGGTGCAAACCCAGAGACTCACCTCAGCACCGACCACACATTTTTAGCTGCAGAAACACATCTTCTCTTTTACAGAGGCACGAGGGACACAAGAATCCAGTAAAATCAGGAGCAGGCCGTAGAGAAGTAGCTGTCCTTTAATCCATCAAGCATCTTCTTTTGTGTTTCACATATGAGAAACAACAAATGCATCTGCAAAAATAATAAATGTAAATCATTTATTATATGAGTTATTATTATCATCAAATATTATTAATTGCCCAATTTTAGCAACACTATTGATAGATGATTGGATTGTGGTGGACACAATTTTTTTTTTATTTTTTTTTATTCAAATAAGTGGTCTGACAAAAGAAATCACTGAGAATCGCTGAGAAGCGCACTCTACCGCTCATTCAGTTTAACATGATTTATATGTTAGGAAGTGGGTTCTCATTATATGTCATGTTCATGCCTAAGATCTAATTTTAACCACATTAAACATATGCATGCTCTTTGAGATCCCTTATAATATTAATATTGCAGTGTGGGCTCTTGTAATGTGGGCATATGTGAAAAGTCATCACTAATGCATGCTTTGTGGAGTTGAATGTGTACCGCTGGATTCCTGTATTCAGTATTCATTCTGAATTCAAACTGGGCTCTGGTCTGCTTTCTCTCACCCTCTGCTTTCTCACCCAATCTTTCTGCGATTGATGATTTTATTTTGTATTCCTTTCACAATCTCTCACCGCATTGAGGCCTGATGTGCTTTAGCTATGGTTAGACTGTTCTGACTGATGATCTCAGCCGGAGATGTTAGAGTACTGCTATTATTTAGCACAACAGAAGCTGGATGAGGACAGATAATCCATACTCAGATTAAACCTGCTCGATTCAGTGCAGACAATAACACACACACTGTCAGTTTAGTGATGTTTCTGAAAGAAGGAGATGTTCTGAATTTGGCTTTTCACTGATTGTAATCACAATATTTAGCTAGAAAAAAAGGGGAAAAAAAGGAAATTTTGTCAAGAAAGTTCAAAAAGCTTTGGAGTTATACGGGCTTTTTGCACTTTCAATACTCAAAGATTAGATAGACAAACGGATGGATGAACAGATGGACAGAATGCTAAAATGACAGACAGAGAGAGACAAATTAAACAACTACAGCCACTTCCACCAAACAGTCAAAAAAGAACTCCCTTGCCATTGGTCAGTATTATACTGTAAATTGATTTACAGTAGTGAGGAAATACAGTAGTGACCGTATATTTTCCCGTAATCCTTTGCGGTTTGCAGTAAAATACTGTATACACATTTTACAGTATCTTACTGTACATATTACAGTATAATACTGTTCAAATTACAAAAACCGGTTACAGTGTAGATAGATAGATAGATAGATAGATAGATATATAGATTTATATTCATATATTTATGTTCATGTCATATTCATTTAAAGAGCTGCTTAGTACAATGGACAGAACAAGATGCTTGACTCATTGAGCTCATCTGATGATGCTGATTTTTCTGACAGTGGTTTTAGGCTGTTGAGCTCAAACAATGTGAGTCAACCCAACCCATCTTTCATTCGTCTAATCGTCCACCCCCACTTTTATAAAATTCTGACTCAACACAGGTTCCTCCGGTTTTCACACGGCTCACTGCCCTGACATAGAAGAGTTGTTGCACTGTGAACATGCTGCTTAACTGGGTTTTGTACCCTTAGTATATAGTATGTAGTGCAATGAGGACTTAAAATATCTTTGTGGTGCAGATGTTGCTTGTTTTGGCTAAAGCAACTACTGCCACTATTGGGATTTCAACATCCCCCAAACCCTAGTATTAAACATGCTATGAATATGAACTTCAAATCATGCTGCTTGTTGTGGTGATTACTGAGGTGATTGACTTGTTGAGGTACTATTTTCACCTGACAGATAAGCAACCACATCCTAGAAAACAACCACAACACCATAGCATTGTATCAACTGATTTTGCGTACAGGGTTGCAGACACACAGTCAACTTGCTCTTGAGTGTTCACGGACCGGCTTTGACTATTCCAATATGGTGGACGGCTTATGTATAGCGGCCCATAGAAACAGCCGCTAATAGGGCATCTACCTATACATATCTATGGTTAGAATGCAAAATGCTAATAACAAATATCTAGAGTTTGACTGCTGTTCAGATAAATAGGTTTTCTGAAGGTCAGTATCAGATCTGATGAAGGTTTTGATAATAGGTTTATCATCTGATTCTTTATTGGGGGATAATAGTACACAAGTGTCAAATCTTAACATACACCAAGTAGCTTCCTCTAAATTTCCTCCGGATTCAGAAAATTCATTGTATGCACTCAGCGTTTTCCTGTGTTTCTCTTTTGTTCCGTTTCTTTCAGATCCCCTTAATTTCTAGAAGCCATTTGACTGTTGTGCAGGGTTGTTGAATGTCCTCTGAGCCTCACAAGGCGTTTGGGCCATGTGCAAGTGCCTTTCTGACTGGGCCTAGAGCAAGGAGGTGCGGCTTGTATTTCCCCCTAATTGGGTTGGAAATAATCGCGTTTCACTGCTGAATGGCTAAGCCATAGCAGAGTGGAGAGAGGGTGACAGGCTTGTCTCACAGAGTCTCATGGGTCCTTATGCTGCTGCAAAAAGCTGCTCGGCTCAGTGCTGCTAACCTCCAGAAATCTTCTGTGATGAAAACAACAAATAAAAAAAAAACACCTGAGAAGGTGCACGACCATCTTGCTAATCAGTTGGACAGGAACTGTTAGCTGTTTAATGACAAGGTGGCAAAACCAGATGCCATGATCGTGAATGTGAATGTGCAACAACCCAGAGATTTCCATTTTAAGAACAAGCCCTTCAGTCAACTGTAATATGCTTCGTATGACTTCATCATTTGTTAGATTTCACAAAGCATGAACCAAGCATGAGGAGTCATGTATGCATGAATATTTCTGCCATCTCAAAGAATTGCCATTAAAAATCTTACAAAGGCAAAATTGACCATTTTTAAGTCATTTTGTGAAGATTTCTCAATACAATAATTTCATCCCGATGTTGAGTTCAAACATTATTTTTCTGCATTGTTAAACAATGTTCATTTATGCAATTTGATTGCATTTAATATTAAAGCAACATCAAGGCTGGTATTAAGTGTGTGACTTGTGTGTCCTGCACTGTGGAGACGTGTAATATTATCATTCATCAGACTAAAGATTTTCTCCCTATTTGTCCAAAGACCTACATTAGAGGGTCCAGAGCCACATCTTTTGACCCAGGATAGTAAGAAATGCCCTAGCAGCCACCTAGTAACACTTTAGCAGTCACCCATAATGCCATAGCAACACCCTAGCAACGACCCCAAACACACTAGCTATGCAGCAACCACTCAAAAGCAGAATATCATACTTGAGGTTCACACTTTTGACTCAAGACAATAAGAAATTGCCTAGTAACCATCTACAATGTCCTACAGCAGCCACCCAACACTCTTGTAAACACACACAACACCTTAGAAAACCCCTAGCAACCCCAGAACACCCAACCAATCACCCACAAAGGCTTAGCAACGCCCTAGCAAACCATCAAACACACTAACAATTTCCTATCAATTTAGCAACTACCCAGAACCCCCAGAAACCACCTAGCAACCACCCAGAATGCCCTAGCAACCTCCTGACAATGCCCTAACAATGCCACATAGCCTCTTCCTAGCAACCACATAATAACACCTTAGCAATGCGTTGGTAAACCACTCGAACAGTGGTTCTAAGTTGCTAGAACTTAGCAACTACCCTACCTAACCCACCTAGCAACCACCCAAAATGCCCTAGCTTCCTCCTATCCTTGTCCTTGCAACCACCTAGTAACACTCTAGCAATCACCCACGACAGCTTAGCAACACCCTAACAAACCACTCAAATACAGTAAGCTCCTAGCAACTTAGCAACCACACAGAATGACCTAGCAACCTCCTGATAATGCACTAGCAACCACCTATTAGCACTCTAGCACAACCCTTTAGCAAACATTCACCCACAACACCTTAGTAACCGCCCTAGCAACCACCCCAAACACATAAGAATCCTCCTACCAACTTAGCAACCTTCCAGAACTCCCTACCAACCACCTAGCAACCACCCATAATGCCCTAGAATCTTAATGACAAAGCCCTAGCAGCCACCCAAAATGCCCTGGCAACCTCCTGACAATGCCCTAGCACCCAACTAGCCTCGTCCTAGCAACCACCTAGTAACATTCTAGCCCACATTGCCTTAGCAGTGCCCAAGTAAACCACTCAAAACTTTCTAGCAACTTCGCAACTACCTATAACTCGCAAGCAACCACCCACAATGCTCTGGCAACCTCCAAGCAATGTCCTAGCAACCACCTATTAACACTCTAACACAACCCCTTACCAAACACTCACCCACAACGCTTTAGCAATGCCCAAGCAACCACCACAAACACATAAGAAACCTCCTACCAAGTTAGCAGCCACCCAGAATACCCAACCAACCACCTACAAATCTCCCAGAATGCCCTAGAGACCTCCTAGAAACACTCTGGCAACTATCCTCAACATCCTAGCAAGTTCTTAGCAACACCATAATGATGTGACATCAGTTTTTCTTTAGAAAATATCTTTAGAGAACTCATTGTATTGCAGTATGGTTTCCACATCTCCTCATGTCTTCAGTCAGGTCCCTGTCTCTCTCTCTGTCTCTGTAGCAGGCGTGGCGCCCTCTGGAGGTTGGGATCAGTGATATTAAACATGCTCCCCCATGGCCATCATCACAGGTGTCGGGCCATCGCGGAGGAGCCAGAGAACGACCGCGAGGAGAGGATTCTGGCAATACTGGGGATCATCGGCACCGTGCTCAACCTAATATATATATATATTTATATTATAAATGGAATCCCTAGGAATTTCAGTAGGAATTGCCGAAACAACAAAAGCACTCAGTGTAGCTGATTTTATGAATTAAGTCCCTTGGCACATTCTGTTTTCTGGTACGTGGTAAAAATAAATGAATGAATAAATAAAATAGTGCATTACCAAGATGATGTCTGAAGGTATAAAAAAATATATTTCCCTCTCTCCCAAATGCTCATACGGATGGGAAGATGACGGAGAGAAACATCAGTAAAATAAGTGGAGGGTGAGAGCAAGTGAGCGGCACCACTGGGAGCTGGAAAGCCTGCAGCAAACACAAAGCCATCTGCTCTCTTCACGGACAGAGGCATTTCCCAACATGCTACGCCGTGTCATCTCGATATTAAGAAACCATTGATAACCTGCACCACCAAGCCATTGCTTAATGGCTTAATAATTGAATATTCTATCACTTACTGTAGTTTAATCTCCTGCATTGTCATATAGTCATATATCCTAAAACGTGAATGATAAATGTTCATTTGACAAGCCTTTCTCTCTCTGCGCACCAATTCTAATGTCAGACGAGTGCAGCTAACAGCAGGCTGTGTAGCAGACAGGATGCCCTCATCTGAAGAAATGGCAATAAAGCAGAGGAGAACAGACTGGCATCATTTTTCATCACCAAAAACCATCAAGCAGTGCCTGACCTATTCAATCAGTCGAGAAAACGCAAGCATTACGTTCAAAACCGCACTGAGACCTTTTCATTTGAGTTAGTATGAAAGATAGCTTACACGGTTGTTCATTATTTGTATATCTGTTCATGGTTCATTTTGTATAGTCTTGATTATAATTGCATGTTCTCTGATTTCTTACGTACAGTAAGTATTATATGCTATTTCAGATGTGTGTGAGTTTCACTTAAAGATGACCTTTCATCTGGGTCCGGAGCCGAGCAAAGTTAAGGTCCAGATGTTGAGGATCTGACGTGCAGAAATAAGAGTGGGAATGGTTATTGAATTTCTTGTTTTATGTTGAATTGTCTCTATATAAAGCACAACAGAGCAGAATGCCACAACGATGTCTTGTTCTCAGGTGTTTAGCTGGGTTAGTAGGAACGTTTACTTGAAAAGTGAAGGCACGTTGACGACAGTTGTTGCAGTCATGCACGTAATGACTGATCTCGATTTACACTTTCTGCTTAGTGTGCTTTTTGCAACTAAAAACTTCAACCTGATGAAAACAGTGTTGCAATAGTTTTGTACAACAAAAATAGTTTGACAGTCGGAGTAATGTGAAATGAAAGAGAAAGATGGCAACAGAAATGTGCTTTTGTAACATCATAACATAAGTTTTGACTGTTGAAATGGGCTTTTAGCTTCTTCCGCAATGTTTCGAAAGGAAACATTAAAATTCAATAAAGTTGAAAAGAAGGTGTATCTGATGTTTCTTGTAATTAAAGAGACAATTTTCCCAGAACTGACAATGCTGTCATTTTTTCCTTAGAGCTCAAAAGGAGATGTCGCTCAGCATTCAGTTTCTTTGTGTGGATAAAAAGATGCAATGGAAATGAATGGTGACTGACTTACTTTCAGCTTAACATCTCCTTTGTCTTCCACTGAGTTATACAGATTTCAAACAACATGAGTTGAGTAAATGATGACAGAATTTTCACTTTGGGAGATTCGTCCCTTTAAGGGTTTATTTCAGCCAGACAATTTCTGTGCTCTGAGTTCATTTAAAAAAATAAAAAATAAAATATATA